AATAAATGACTAAAACATTCTCATGTGTGCACAAGTGTATGTTTTTCGAAAATATTTTCGATTTCTTATAACCTTAGCATTTTCTATATAAAAAGTTTCATCAACAAAATCGCACAAGGACAACCCCGAAATTTCAACAACCCTCCTTCCTCCTGGGAAAAAGGTTGAAAGTTTTAAAAAATTTGGTTGGCGCAATTTTAATATTTAACAACTACCAAGTCAAACTATTCCAAATTTGTGTGGAATTTAAACCGTTTTCAACAGAAAAGCTAGAATTTTTTTCTTTATTTCACTTTTCGAAGCAATTTTTTTAAGATTTAGGTCGGGAAAATTAGACCTAAGGTATATTTTCTAGAATGAAAAAAAATGTATTGTCAAACTTATTTTTTTATTAAGGAAAACCCCCCAAAAAAAGGGAAAAATTACATTTTGACCGAAGTCAATTTCTAGGTTGCTATGTGTGAAATAGGCAATGAAAATAGTTCATTATATTATTAACAACGATGTATGGGTTTTTATAGAAATACATTTTTATCGAGAGACAACAGTGAAGTATTTAGAGAGGGGGGGGTGATCGCTCTGGATGGCCATTTTTTTAGAGGTGCCATCAAATTTGTACATAGCCCATCTTCTGTTAGTGAATCAATTATAGAGATGTGTCTAACACTTAAAAATGAAGGATTTGAAGACCTTTCAAACCCTTATGTAAATATTGCTCTGAGAATGTTGTCCCGTATCAAACTACTCTTCAGAGCGATCATTTAGTGCATTAAATAAACAGTATCGCTATATTAAATATTAATTCGCACATCACAAAAAGTTTAGAGTATGATGACATATTAATCGATGAGTATAGTTCCGCTAAAGCTTGCAAAAAAATAATGCACATTGTAAATATTTATTGCTTTGTAATTTGTGGATAATAAATAAACCTATTTTATATTTGTGACTAATTTATAAAGATAACATGAACAGAAAGATAACAGAAACTCTGCTTTTTTTTTACTTTTGTTCAACTCCTTGTGGAAGCAAGTCCTTTAATGTGTAAAGCCCTATGTGTAATTGCCATTTAAATGTATTGTAGTATGTTAAGTATGTACTCAGTGAATAAACAACTAACAAACTGAGAGCATTTAATTCTTTAGTCACTCTTACATTATAGATTCCAATATAGAAGAGAAGTTTTATCTAACGACTAAAAATTGTTTAATTGAAATTTTTAATTGAATAGTCAATGCCAACTGGTTCCAACAGAGATTACAAAAAGTGAATACATTTAGAACAACAATGTAACAAATATAACCCTAATCATATCCACCCTTAAACTAAACATTCATTTTCAAGCACATAATTGTTATTAGGTACAATGCTCTTATTGATATATGTATTTTTATCTGTGATCACTGGATTGCTCCATGAGGCCCAAATTTGGGTTTCGAAACCATATTATGTAAGGTTTTATTTTATGCTCTAAATTTTTGTTGTACGATATAAATGCATAAACATTACACGGTTAGTAATATTTTTGTTTGCGGTTTATTTACCTTAAATTCGTATCGGTATGAAAAAACATATGAGTCATAATAATACACATAAAAAGCTCCTTAATGATAGATGTACTCAGATTTTTCGTACTATTAAATTCGTTAGTATATAAAAGACCTTGGAGTATTATTATGTTAAACATAGGTACTCGATATAGACACAAATGTGTTGTATACCTTTAGGCAGAATTTACAGAAATGAGAAAATTGTAAATACATTTATAATATGCTATTATTTATATAATAATAAAAAAAATTATAAATTATTATGAATGCATATATTTTTTTTTATTTTATTGTATTTTATTATTATCCATATTCCGACAATTGGTCTTAGAACGGGCATACGTAAACTACGCCCCGATTATAATTTGGTTCAAAAAGGGTATATGTAAACAGCGCCCAGCTTCTCATCATCGGTGTGAAATGGAAACAGCGCCCGAATCAATAAAACCACAGAAATATTAATATTTTAGGGTTGCTACCACTTTTACCAAATTTCATAAATTACCAATGTCTATGCTGTTTGGCCTCAGATAAACTAAAGATACACGGATGTCGCTTTCATCTAACATAATCGTGGAATAGAAATATCCAAAAAAATGGCTTGAGTATTGACTATACAAATAAAAACAGTGGTATTAGAAGGGTTTTAGTTCATACAACGGTGTACCATTTTTAAGGCCAGAAAGTTTATCTGAGTATTTTGTAAATAATTTAATGAAATCTAAGCCCGACGATGAAAGAGTGACACGATTTGCGGATTATTTAGTAGATGTATATATAAGTAAAGAGCTCAGTATCCACCTGAAATATGGGCTCAAGCTTCAGCAGAGCCAACTTTAACCACCAATGTATGCAAGTCTTTCTATTCCCACTTTAATTCTAGCTTTTATACAACTCATCCAAATATTTTTATGCTTATAGAAAAGTTAAACGAAATTCAAATAGAAACATAAATAAAATGAAATAATTTAAATAAACCTTTTAATTTTAAAGTTTTAAAACAAAACAAGAACATGAAAAATTACAAAGTTTTCATTGCAGTTTACATATAAGATTTTGTGTTTACCTGTGCCTTGGGCGCAGTTTACAATCGCCGCTTAGAACACCTAAAAATGTCTACATCCGGTCATGAATAATGTTACTATATTATTTTTATATTTAAAATTTAAAACCTTTATCATTACTTTTCTAAATAATTGTATATTCACTTACTTAAACGGGAAAACGTATTGAAAACACGTTTTAAGTTGTATTATTTATTAATAAGAAGACTACTTGTTTTGATTTGTTGTTTTGTATGCTTATTCAAACAGATACAGTCATATACCTATGTCCTAAATAAGAAAATATTCGAAAACAAAAACAACATCTTTAATCATCGACCTAGTTATATTATTTGAAGTCTCCAACGTTAAAACGGTTTTTATTATTATTTTATTTTGGGTCCATGCATTTTTTACTTAAGTAGTTAAAATTGTAATTTGTAGAGCAATTGTCAGTATTCCGAATTTAGTTTTATAAATGTATAGAAAAAGTTATATTTTAATACTTACATAATACATTCTATCTCTTATGGAATATTTATAAATGAATATAAATGTTAGGATATCAATGTGGATTATACAAATATTGTGATATAACATACATGCTAAATTAGGCATTTTATACAAATTAGGAAATATCGATTGCTCAACGACTACCTTGAAGGTATTGAATGCATGAATGCATGTTATATTATGGAAGTCGATTGTTGAATAACTATTTCATTTACATCACAAAGACAAATTTGAGCAAATAAAATAGGATTTAAACACAATATCAAATGAAATATCATTAGTCGATTTCTACATTAACCTAGAAAAGTGGCCGATTAATTCAAATATTTTTTCAGAATTTAAATCTAACCATCCTGAGTTGGTGTAATTATGGCAGGCTTTTAGGCCTAAAATGTCCAACAAACAGGTCATTTCAACCCCCATAAGATGGGTCAAAACCTATTCACTGTAATCAAACTTATAATTTTTACAACAGTTTTTGGCTACCATAAATTCTGACTTAAAAGTATTTTCTTTAATATCTAATAAGTAAGCATGCTGTTCCCAATACACGTTCAATCAAGATTGTCAATTTATTATTTTCACTTCAAAATATCTATTTGTGTCATACGAAAAACGGTAAAACTATGTTTCGGGAGGAGGTTAAATGTATCAAAAATATTATTTACAAACGTTTCACTTATATTTTAAATATTATGATGTTTTATTGGGAAGAGGGGTATACATTTACTATCGTGTATTAATCGGTTAAAAATTATTTTTATCATTAAACTAAAACATATTTATCATTATTATGATTAGTTTATAAAATTAAATATTTGAATATGTAATATTACCTACAATTTGTAAGCAATATAAATGAATTTATTACAGATTGTAGACTTGCGTTCTCTAATAAAAATTGTAAATTAATACAGTTTATACTTTGTAGTTTTATTCACATTGAAGATTTAAAAGTTTATAGCACTCAAACAACTATTTTTTATATTATAAAATAATAAGATAATCACAATTGGGTCAATGAATTCTGTAGTATTCGTTTTTACGATTATAATATATTTTATAATCAATGTTATTTGCCAATAATCAGTACAATATTACAGTATATTATAGCACCTGTGTGCACAAATCCTAAAATGTTATGTTTGTTACGTACCCTTGGTTTTTTTTTGTATGATATGATTAATAAATAACAAAATCAGTTATAAAACGATAAATCTAAACGATATTTAAAAAATATATAACAGTATGTATACTTGTGAAATCGGTATTACGGGATTTGAAAGAATGGCGGTTTTCGAGACATTTTATATTATAGACAATATTTAAGAAAAAGATGGTTTTAATGAATTCCGACCATGTCAATTTATTTTTACATTAATTTGTACATGGTTCCGAGTACCTATTATTTTTAACGTATACAATTTTTACTAAAAGTAAAAACCATTTTAGTGGTAAAAAAAAATACCCGCTGTGACAAAATTTAAAACTGACTGTTCCTAAGGTTCGATTTAGAATAATTTCAAAATTATTTGGCCCCTTTACTGGGTTACGTTAAAACCAGATTTTAATTTAAAAAATTCAGTTGTTTGTATTTAAATAAATTAAATTCTGAATACACAGGCAGCTAGCATGTTTAAACATTAAGAGATAGAGTATATAAGGTCAACTACAGCGTAAAATATAGGCGAACATTAAAATAAAAAAAATAAAAAAATTAATAGTTACTTTTTTAAATTTAATAATATGGTAAATAAAAAGATTGATAGTTTTACCCCGACTAACAATATGGCCACACTGGTGTCGGCGGAGTCATTATCAGCTAAATTTTTGTTTACATGCCTAGCACGATTTAAGATAACAACTTACGTTATCTTAATTCGCGTCTCACGATGCTGAGCATGGCAAGGTAGATGCATCCTCATGCCGAGTAAACAATCTGTGGTATAAATTATAATATATTGCCTAAAACGATTGGACTTTTTATTTGTTATTATTATTTATTAGTCATTAATCGGATATATTAAATAATTGATTCAGGTAAGTACATTGTTAGTTAAATTTTTTAATACCTATCTAGTGGTTAGTAATATCTGAATTTCTATTTTTCATAGAATGCCGCCAAAATGTCTCAATTCGGAATGTACTTCAACCGATAAAACTCTAGTGGAAGCCCGAAGATTTGTCTGTGCATACTATAATTTAACGTTTAAACCTTATCGTCGAGTGTGTACAAACTGCTTGGAAATAAGTATTATGCATCACAATAGAATCAGGAGCCAATTTAAAAGTTCTCAGTGTATTCTTAACGATATTCCAATTGTAGACGACAGTGTTGTTTTGTCAGACGATGAGTTTGAAGAAAACGATAAAATTGTAAAGAATATAACAAATATTGAAACTATTAAAAAAAATATAGAACTTGTTTTAGAACATGTGAACCCTGTATTGAATGACCAGAATCTAACATGCAAAAAGTTTTTAACAGATATGGAAAATAAACTGTCCAAAGAAAAACAAAGTATAAATAGTATTATTAGTAGTGTAAATAATGATATACAGGACATTTGGTCAAAAATGTTTAGTAAAAATCAAACCATTTATAATCACCGAGAAGAAATAGAAATTGTTGAACCTACAAATTTCGAAGAAAATGATGTTATTGCCTTAGGAAATGAACTAGTTAAATTACCCAATGACCTGCCTGAAGAAGGAATACCCAGACGAAGATTGTTAAAACAAGGCGATAAGGTTTATGCGATGCAATTTTCACTTTTACAGCCTTGGTTTGAGGCTGTTATTATTGCACCGGTTAGTGAAGCGTATTTCAGTATAAATTTTTGTAATACTAGTGGAGAAAAAATATTAAATTATAAAAATATGGCATATTTACACGTTAATAAAACCCAATATCCAGTTGGTACCAGAGTCATAGCCAAATTTAATGATACTGATGAATCGATGACTGACAATTTTTATGCTGGAATCGTAGCTGAGCCACCGAAGACCTTAAATAATTTTAGGTTAGTTTGAACTTGACTGTTTACAATATGGTATAAATCAACTTTTTTTTTTTTAATCTATCGTACATTTTCTGCTGATTGCGAATCTGCAAATTGATTGCGCCACTTTCAATTAGTTTGAAAGTTTGCAGTTTCCTAATCAGTATAAAAAGTACTATCGGTAAACAAAAAAGGAGTCTAATTAAGTAGATTTGTTCCAATAATATATACCTATTCATGAATATAAATGTTAATTTATTAAGTATATATTAATAGAAAACTAGAGGTAAAAGATGTTCGAACTTAAATTACAACAATATTAATATATTGAAATAAAACATTAGGAATTACTATAAATAAAAACTTTAAAAAGCCAGAACAGTGGGGTCGAGGCATAGCGGGCATATTGCAGGTGCCTATTTTTTCCACCAGACAGTTGCCCGTCTGGAGGAACAAACCGCCAGTGGCTGAGATTCAAACCGGCGACCGTGCGTTGATACACTGCTGCCTTATCTCACTCCGCCACGCGCCTGCACTATTAACATAGTTATTAAATAATACAATATAATGAAAATATTTTCAATTACCTGTTGACTGTTGACTCACTCACATATAGGAACCTAGAAATTGACTACCTTAAAAAGTATAATTTTTCCTTTTTTTTCTTCTTTTTATTAAAAAAAGAGTTTGGCTACAAATTTGTTGAAAAATGTTTTTATGTCATAGCTGCAGACCAATGTATTTGGTCTAATTTTCATATCTTAAATCCTAAAACTTAACGTAAAAGCAAAATAAAAAGTTTTTTTTTTGTCAACTTTTATCAGTACTACCTACTGTGTCTAATGAATATTCCATACAAATTCTGAAGTAATTCCACTATTTAATAAAAAGTTATACAAAGCTGTAATTTTCTGAAAAATATTTTAAATTTGTTTAGTGTTTATCTTGATTTTAAAGGGGGAGGGGTTATCTATTTTTATTTTTGTCCAATGCATATATTTTCTACTTGAAGATATCAGTTTAGGTTTTGGGAATATTGTTGGTACAAACACAAAAAAAAAAATACCTTCCTATTGATGCGGAATCGAAGCAAAAAAAAATGACATACGTAGTAACATAATTTATTTTTATTTTCTTCAGGTACATGATATTCTTCGACGATGGATATACACAATATGTGTATCATAAAGATATACGGCTAGTATGTAGACAATCAGCGAATGTTAATGAAGATGTCCATGAAAATTCAAAAGATTTTGTAAAAAGCTATTTGGATATGTACCCAGAACGTGCAATGGTAAAATTTAACAAAAAACAACTCGTACGTGCAGAGTATGATAAGAAATGGTACTTAACCAAGGTAATTGACATAGATGCTTCATTAGTTCAATTGAAATTCCTTGATTTTCATTATAAGCACTCTGAGTGGATGTATCGTGGCTCAAATAGATTACATCCAATATATAGTCAAAAAGGTAAAAATAAACATGGGGAACGTATCCGTAATAAGTTATTGGCGAATAACAATCTCAACAGATCTCTGAATATTCCATATGTGGAAATTGAGTATTTAGGACAAAGCAAGGAAGTTGATGTGTCTAAACAATCCCAAACAGTTTCCAATGGAGATCATGGATACATAATTAAGACTGATATACCAAGCACTTGTCCAAGACCCTTGGCCTACAAAGCACATCAATGTAATCACTTCTGTACTTTATGGGTGAACTATAATGAATCAAAAACTAAATATATGCATGCTCTGACTGTTCCACTTCATTTTGGATTTCAAAGATCAACAATAGGTACAAAAGTAGTATACACAACACCGTGTGGTTGCAAAATAACCAATTTAGAAGAAATGTATATGTACCTAAAAGCCACAGATAACCAAATGACCATAGACTTCTTTGACTTTAGTAGTGTGCTGAATCCATTGGCAGAATACAAGAATGAAAATTATAAAGCTATATTAGACGATGTGTCATATGAATCGGAATTTCGACCGATTAGTCTTGTAAATAATTTGAACACTTCACTGCCACCGTTAATGACCTACATGACAAAACGTAAACCTATGAATGGTGTAAATATGAACACAGATACTAAGTTTTTAACTTGTTGTGATTGTACTGATAATTGTGAAGACAAAACTAAGTGTTCCTGTTGGCAGCTTACTTATAGTGGCCAGCATGTGTTACCGCGAATTTATAAAGACAGGGACATCGGTTACATTTATAAGAGATTAAACAATTGTGTTTACACAGGGATTTATGAATGCAATTCAGCATGCAAATGTTCCAATACGTGTTTAAATCGGGTTGTTCAACAGCCTATAATACACAAGTTACAAGTATTTTTAACTGAAAAAAAAGGATGGGGCATCAGGACACTCAACGACATACCCAAAGGTAGTTTTGTGTCAACCTATGTAGGTTACGTGTACACGGAGAAAGATGTAGAAAATGACAGTGTAACAAATGGAGACGAATACTTAGCCGATCTTGATTATATCGAAACAGTGGAAAAAATTAAAGAAGATTATGAAAGTGATGTTGTTCCACCAGAAGATGAAAGCAATGATGAATTGTCATCTGATGAAGAGTTTCAACCATGTTCCAATGTTATGAAAAGCATGTATGGATCGGAAATGGCGTTGAGAAGAAGAAACGCACATAGTGCGAATACTGAGACAAATGGAAAACACAGGCTGTCTAAATTGAATACCGAACAAACAGTAGAAACAAAACACAAGTCAATACGCAGTTATTTTGATAACGATGAAAGTGTTTTTATATTGGATGCGAAAATTGGTGGAAATATTGGACGTTATTTCAATCATTCGTGTGAACCCAATTTATTTATTCAAAATGTTTTTGTAGACACACATGATGTAAGATTTCCGTGGGTAGCTTGTTTTGCTTTGAATTTCATTCCAGCAGGAACAGAATTAACGTGGGATTATGGTTACGCTGTAGGAAGTGTTGATGGAAAAACTTTACTATGCAACTGTGAATCTAAACATTGTAGAAAAAGACTATTATAACCATATAAATGTATACTTGTTTTGATTTTTTTTAATGCATAATTCGGTTTTTTTATATACCTTACTAAATTTACTGTATATTAGGTTAGGTTAATTATTCAGAAATACTTTTTCTTTATTTATATTTTTTTGTATTTAAAGAAATGTAATAAAACTTTCCCTCTTAAAGTATATTTTTGACATGTGCCTGATACAGACTGTTAAGAAATTTAGTTTTAAATAAAACATTATGTTTTTAAAATAATGTAGTATTGAAAAATTCATACATTTATTATGATTAACAATGATTAATGAATTAAGAAATATTTAGTTTGATAGTTTTAATGTTAACAAATGTGTAGAGAAATTGCTCTACAATTTGAGTAACGAATAAATCTTGAAGAGAAAGATTGAATAAATCTTGTATCTTTTCATTTTGGAATGGTCTAAACTCTAATGGATCAAAAAAACTCATTTCAGTAGGCTTAACTTTAAAAAATAATTTCAAATCTAAATGGAAATGAAACCATACAAATTTTAAAGAAAGAAAATTTGATAAATATTTTGTGTACATTTTAAAAATTACATTTGAGAATATTTTTTATGGTTTACTGCGGATCAAAAAAGGTATTAGTGTAACAATGTTATTTTTTTTTTTTAGTAAATTACGATACACATTTTTCTTCGAAATATTTTGTTCTTTTTAAAAAATGTATTACTATATTAATTATGTTATACAACTAAATTAATTCTACAAAATAAAAAATAGGCTTACCGTCATGTTTTATTTTTTACTAGAAATTAGTTTTTTTAGCTTTAAATCAGATATGACGTTTATTGAAATCGATAAATTAAATACAATAGAATTTTCACTACAGTCCAGTTTTTTGTTTCTATACGCAAGATTTTATGGCCGTTACAGCACTAACTTTACTGAAAATACAAGTACAGTTTAACAAATAGTTTCAGCCACGGCTTAAATACACAAGGTTATTGCATACGCTTACTTTGTAATATTATCAACTCATTAAATGGCAGCGTAAAGGTATATCATTGTTTCTTCGTAATACCTTTAGAAAACAAATGATTCTGGTTGGCTGACCTTTTATTTTTATCATCGAACATTCTGATTAAGAGGGGTAGAAATCCAACAACCTGGTAGGTATATTGAAATCATGGGTTCAGCGTTGTTCAAACTACCCTTAAACTGTACGTACTGCTGGTATGCAAACGTGGCGCATTCTAACTTTATAGGGTTGCGTCGACTCAGTCTGTGAGTGTGTGTGTGTGATGAGTGAGCAAACGCATCCAAATGGCAAATAACAAACGCACCCCTGTGGGAAAACGCCACAGGCTGCTGTCAATTTTCCCAGAATATGCCTTGAGCTTATATTTAGCGGTAGGCGGGACATGTTGAGCGATCAATGATGGCGGCCAGACAGCTGGAAACAATCGACTACCAGCTTAGTGTGCAAGTTGGAAGCGCACAACAACGGTAGTGCTGATGGAATATTCGTTTTTTTTTTCTTTAACTACCGTGGATGTAATTTTTATTGTTTGAAAACGAGCCGTTGGTTAAATTTAGAGTTACTTAACAAAAGTGATAAAAAAAAAAATTTGTTTCTCGAGTTGTATTTTGAAAGTTTCACAAGTATTGTTGTCACTCGACTAGACTATATACCTACGTATACAATCATCATTCACGGTTTGGACTTGATTTGAAATTTAAATCCAGAATAGTCAATTTCGTCGTTAGCGAAGTGTACTTTAATTGTCAAAATATGGCACCAGGTCGTCAGCGGAAAAGGTGAGCATATTAAAATAAATTAATAATAATCTTTTTCCGCGACATAACACTTGGAGAGCATCGGGCACTAAACCTTCGAATTGGTTACCTACCTATTCCATATAATATTTTTGTTTGTCCCTTAAGCATCTCCTATTACAATATGTATCTTAAGTCTCCAGAGCCATCGCGGCATCAACCAGCTGATACAGGACACTGGCTTTACCTCATATGAATGGTGTCAGCAAGCTAAATCCGCTCTCTCCACAAATCTCCATCATTCGCCATTTCTCTAATCACTTAACTCTTAAACACTCATATCTTATTCTGTTTTAATTTTAAAAACATTTTCATCCATTTGCCTTTCATCTTTCTTGTAGCCAATAGCCAATACACATTTCCATACATTATCGCTGCCCTTTATTTATACAAATGTTTTTGCACTCTATATGACATCATTCTGTTTTGCAACACGCCTGCTATTTCCTTTTTTCTCCTTATCCAACCACACTTAATTCTACTCTTTAAAATATTCTTCAATTCCATCATCCTAAATATTTAAATTCTCTAATCTGTTTGCTACTTGCTCTCTCTGTTGCTCTACAAGCATAACCGGGTGTTCTGTTTTTTTCTATAAACTATCTCATTGCTCTAATTTAGCACTCAACACTTCTGCACTCAGCTCATCCACCACATCATCAGCAAATAATAGACACTAAGTGCATCACCCTGTATTGTTTTAGTGATAGTACACCAAGAAAAACAAGTATAAATGCTGGCCCTATATGAACACCTGCCCTAACAGTGAATTATTGTCTCGCCACACACATTCTTTACACTAATTTTCGCTCCTTCATATATATCCTCTATTATTTTTTACACATAGTATACAGCAAAATAAACTCACTATACAATGGAAAACTAATTTTGTTTTTTTTTTTAAATATAATTCTACAGATTTGTTCCGACTAAATTGCCCTGGGCGACGAGCATACCTACCATGCCGGCTGATAAAAAAACCGATTGTAATTCCGAGGATGGCTGGCTGAAACCTAAAAATCCTAAGCGCTTCCGATCACTTAATGGTTTTTATGAAATGAGTTGCACTCCGACGGTCAATCGTTTTGCCAGACTTTCTGACCTACAATTAGATGACGAAATTGAACAACCGAAAAAGTCCAGGCCTCATAACCTGCCCGCAAAACCAAAGAATGGCCCAGGTGTTAAATTTGTATCGCCTAAAAAAAATAATACAAAGCTAAAAAAACTATCACATAATAATCCGACGACTAACCAATTACAACCCGCTAATCCACACACACCTTCTAATAAAAGTATACTACATCATTGCTTTATAAAATTTATGACTTTTATTAGTCGTTATCTCTCTCCCCGCGCCTACTTATTCTCTACTGACAAAAATGCAAATAAGGCGAAAAAATAAATGCATTACTAATTTATCAAGTTCTTCCTAATTACCAAGACTAGGTATATCTACCATTTCCTCGTCAATACACTAATCTGCCGACTAACCTGGACTACCTACTAGAGTCCTCATTCTAAGTTGAACAAATTCTCTTATACTTCTTCTAATTTTTTTATTTTCTTACTATAAAAATTCATACTCATCATATCTTCCAGTATAATTTTAAGTATTAGTCTGATTAAAGAAGCCAAATATGTTTTTTTTTAGGATTAATTTTGTTAGAAACCACTAACCAGGGCTTGTGACTTAAATATATATGAAACACGGATTCGGGAAGTTAGGTTAGGTACATTTTTGTACTTAAAATTGCTTAGGTGTTATGCAGTATCATAGATTAAATATACTATATTTAATATATATTTTAATCTGTGGTAGTATGATAGTTATAAATTTGCAAAAAACGTACATATAATTTTTACATTAATTTCGTAGTATGCTAAAATAGAATTCTGTCGTACAGATGTGTTTTTGGGAATGAACAAGTAAAACTAGTATGCAAATGCTAAAAATCACAAGCCCATAAATAAATGTTATATTATGTTTTAATATTTTATTTGTAAACATATATTAAAATAATACATATTGTATTGAAATACCTACACCGTTACCATTTAGGTAAGTTAAAAATATTACTATACATCTAAACAACACATTGACCAATAATATGTTTAAATCGAAAAGTGTAATTTATCCAAAAACAATTGTTGATAATTAATAATAATTCTAATCCTTATTATTTTTTAATATTATTTTACAAATTTTATCAGTTTCAATTGGAAATGTTATCCGCATTGGTATTTTCAATTCAATTTTTGTTCGTTCATAAACAAAAGTATTTGTTTAATTTTAATAATGATAATTTATTATGTAATTTTAAATACGTTATTATACCTATCTGTTCGAATTACTTTTGCTCATCCCTACGACCTCTAGCATTGGTACGTACACTTCTTCTCGTTTTCTTTAAGAACAGCAATGGACAAATCCTTTATGTGCATCTTACGTTTGCCTTTTTAATAATGGAAACTCTATTATTTTTAACGCCAAAAATATCTGGAGAAGTCATTCCAACTGATCTCACAAAACGTGAAACTCTGACCATAATACCATAATGTTGAAATTAAAACGGGGTACAGTCAATTTATTGTCTTAAATAAGTGGCAATATTAAATTGCCATAGTTTTGCATACATTTAAAAAATACAAATGCTAATTTTAATAATAAAATAGTACAAAGTAACGTACTTAACGTATATGAAAAGGTTATGCGATCTTAATTTTTTTTTTAAATACATTTTTATAAGATAATATTAAATAAAATCGTTGAGGAATTACATTGAATAACAATTTATTAATGAAGTTAAATATCAGTCGTGTAAAAACGTTTCTCTCAAAAAACTTTTGCAAGTGACTGTATATTTAAAACAATTGTAGTCTTGTTGGTAATTTGCAAGTAAAAACAAATTGAGTTTCTTAATTATTAATACCTACTTAACCCTTCCTATAAAATGTCTAATTACCCCTCCTTCCCAGATTACGTCGATTAGGTACTTTATACTTTGTATCTAGTAGTTTATCTATAAATAATAATTAGCGACCACCATTTATTAAGCTTGCTACTTAGTAATTCAACTAATGTTGTGTCGAATCAAGTATTTGCGCCTAAAATATTTAACGATAAATTGACCCACAACGAACGGCGTGCATCACGTCCATTCTAGAAATGATAAGTTTAAAAAGCATTTACATATTATAGTATTAAATTATTGTTATACAACATTATTCTCGATGAAGATCATGTCTTATATTTAGATGGTGTAATTTTATTTGTACCTTTAAATTGCTATGATACTGTGTGCATATTAATAATTATCTTATACCTTAATACAATAATGTGTATACTGTATACTATTATTATTTTCTATATATATATTTAATAATTATTTATATTATACATATATATATATATATATATATACATAAAATATGTTATTATACAAAATATAAAATAGCATATGCTATTCTGTCCATTTAAACAAACAATAATAATAATAATAATATACACATATTTAATATATATAATTACTATATCTATCTATATTTTAATTTATTAATCATTATATAGATTGTAATTTTTATGATATAAAGTGTGCTAAATTTAAAAAAAAAATAAGTCCGCATCAATTAAAATATTTACATTTAAGTACCAACTAAATGTTAACGCTATATATTGTTTTTTTTTTTTTAATATCAAATTGTTCTGATCGAATTCATGATGAACTGTTTTGGAATCCAACGAATTTTGGTTACAATTTTGTATGCAAAAATAAATACTACATGGTTTTACGAGTACCTAATAAATTATTTTATCTATCTTTAAAATCTTCTATTAATCTTGATGCTATACCTAACTATTAATCCTTTACCAAAACCAGCTATATCGGCGTGGAAAAAAAAGAATAAAAATAAAAATTGTTGCACTATGAGATGTAAAAACGTACAACTATTATAACGTACAATAACTACCATGTGTATTGTATTAATAATTATTGGTTTATGTCTTTAATAAAGAGGAAAATAATATTAAAGATAAAGTATAACTAAGTAAGTGTATACATCTAAAGTAAATTAATCTCTAGGCTGTTTTCTAAAATTATTAGAACCTGAATATAATATACAGAATCTGGTTATTTTTTTTCTGAAAACACCTTTTTCTCCAACAAAATTCTAGGACTAAAACAATCGTTTGGTTTCAATTATTTTTTATCAACAAGCATTTATGTGACATTTGTTAAAATTAGGAAGAAGTCATGATTTAAAATTTCACAAAAAGTGCAACTCCCGACACATATTTCACTGGCATACGACTTTCGGTGTGTCAAATTACAAATTTATGTTTATTTTTGGAAGTTATTTCAAGACCAAAAAAAAATCATAAGAAAAGTCTACTGTTTTGAAACTTTAAAGCTAACTTGGCTGTATTTGGTTTGCTCATTTTTGTATTATTGCAATAGGGAGTAATTATAATATTCTGTAATTTCTTTTGTGTACAACGTTGAAAGCTGATGATAAATTAGAAGAGGTACAAACACCGTAATTAAAACATTTCAATTATGTTCTTACACCTATATAATATTATGTATTCGAGTTGTCAGTATTTCCATGACGTTACAGCGTTATGCATTATAACAAGTACCCAATTGTAAACAATTATGCGGAATTGTATTTTTAAACGTCTCAACTACACCCGGGGTACGTCGTTGGTTAATAAACAAAGGTAACATTTTTTTACACTTATTTTGTTAAGTCATATCTGATTCGAGATTAAACGTATCGTCAGAGAACTCGAGGAAAGATTAATTGGAAATTCGACTGATTTGTTTTATTTGTTTCAACAACAGTGAAAAACTGCGATGCAACCACAATTATGTAACTGCAAGTGCTGCTATTGTCCACCCAAAGTAGAACCTGTTATGATCCGGTGTGTGAGTGCAATCCGTACACTTATATGCCCGTGCATGAGACACCGATATGCCGCCAATAATAGAACAAATCCTCAGTCGTGTCACAAGTGCATTGTAAACCAGAAGCAAACTAATTGTGGATGTCAGCAGGCACCGATTAAGCAAAAATATTCCTGCTCGACCGCGGCAGAATGTCCCAGCAAACCAATCGTGTGTTGCCGCTCGTCGATAAAAAACAATTCGGAATTTAAAACGTACTTCAAGAAAATGTTATCGAAAAAGAATAGTTGGTAAGATTATTATTTTCGTTTTAAAATAACAACAACAATTACAATCACCCACCTACGCCAGTTGAGAGTTGCCACTTTCCGTAAACACCTGCCAAAAAATGTTTTCCCCGTTTACCTGTGCTATTATAATTTACTATACTACCCCGCTTGATTGAGTGATAATACCGAATTTTTTTGAAATGGTAGCCACCGCAAAGATATTGATTGGTTTTCACCATCGCAGCTTACCCATAAAAATAATCATCACATTTCAAATTTTAACCTCGATTTTTTTTAAAAAAGCACAAAGCAACTTCGAAAAGTGTAATAAAAAACATCTGCGGATTTTTATATTTATTTTCTACTTCCCTATGGCTCTAGAAATTGACCATCATTTCCCTTCATAGATAGGACATGAGCATCATGTAATAATATCAATAATAATAATATTTTTCACACAACTAGTAATATTATTCGAGATAGTCTTCTTACTGTCGAAAATTTAAAGTTTTTTTTTGTATTTGGTACTTAATTATTAATTTTTAATTTAAATGTTCTCATTTAACTGTTTAAGTATTGGTAGTTCTATTTTATTATTGTTTACATGCGTCTTATGTCTTCGGGTCTTCTTATACTTATTTTTAAAATTGGAGCCTTCCGTATAAAAATTCCATGTAATATTTTATTGTATACATTGCACACATTTTATTTCCTGTTTTTGTGGACTACTAAATAGACTAGACTTTTCCTACAAAACATGTACACTTTTTAACCCCATATTGATATCTTTAATTACAATTTCTCCCTTGTTGTTTTCTCCATTTTATCGTTCATATATAGCACGTGTATCTTCCCTCCTAATTTAAGTACGCATCACATTTAGTTATCCAGCTAATTACTGAATAAAAACACATTTTATTTAGGGAAAATAATATGTAAGAGTATTTCATTTTTCAACACAAAATTTAAGTTGTTTTTATGAGTTATACTTAAATTTAATAGTATGAGTAATATTTAAATTTAAGTAGTAATTTTCCAAGTCACAATTTGCTAATAGAAATAATTAATTTTGCTTGTATTGTTTTGCAGTAGTAAAAAATTAGAAGAACATAATCGAAAGTCACCCCTGAATGTATGCAGTCTACAGAAAATGGGTTCTACTTGTCGTGTGTAAGTAAACTAATATTTGTACTACTATGCACTTAGATTGGTAAATCAAAATAAACTGTACCAGAACAAATTTGGCACAATTAAAAAAAAAAAAATGTTAACAAACATGTAGGATCAGTAAAATTTGCTAAATTTGTTTTGATTAAACGCAGCAAAAGCCGATTCTAATTAGAATTTATTATTATAGAGAATAAATGATTTCATTAAAATTAAACTATATTTAAATTTATGTAGGATACCTTCAATTAATGATAACTGCACAAAAAAATGCTCGTTGTTGTTTATTACCTAATGCTTGTTATTTGTATTTATAATATTTTTATCCGGTTATATCTACTGTAATATTTTGTAAACATGCCTATAATTAGATAAATTTGTTTTAGAGATCATACAGCGATTAAATGTGAATGTTTGAAAAGCGGAGTAAGATCAATCATAGTTCCTTGCCACTCGGGTATTGTCCAGAAAAGGTCGTCAGCTTGTGGAGCAAACACCATTTGTCATCTTCGTTGATGCATAGATATTTTAACCAAGTCTTAACATTTGTAATCTCGAAAAATACATTCTATCTAGTCCATATATACAATGTCTACTTAAAAAAAAATTGTAAAATCTGTAACGTTTATCAATTTAATTGATCGCCATAATTAATAGTTGATTATACCTATGACTGAATTGTTATTTTTATTTTATATTTTAAAATGTGATTTTTATATATCACTATTCACTGTTAAAAATTGAAAACAGTCAAAATGCAAAAATATCAAATACCAGTGCACACCGGTATCCCACGTAGCTTTCCATACATTCCAATGTTATAATTAGCGAATTTTAATTTTAAGAAATAAAAACAAGCGGCAAGCAAAAAAATAGTATTTTCATTTTTCACTAGAGAGCAGAGCATATAATTTTAAAAGACAACGAAGACTAAAATAAACAATTAAAAATAAAAAAAAAACCGTTTTTCTTACCCTCTAAGAAGTACTTATGTATCCATCAGAACCAATTAGGTTGACAAAAAACTGTGTCATATACATATTTTGTTTTTTTAGTCGAATAGTATGAATTTAAATGAATTTTCTATACTCAAATTAATGATAAAAAGTAAAAAAGTCTAAACAAAGTTCCTTATGTAATATAAAGAGTAATAATAGAATGATTGGTACAAATAACACTGGAATTGTTTTATAGCACGTTGAAAGCCTTGGGACCGAGTAGACATTATGTGTACCTAAAACAAAAATCCATTTTTCTCAAAACTTTTGTCAGTTGCAATGTTTGTGCCAACCTTTCAGCTAACACAATTTTGTTATAAAATATAAGTAATAAACACCAATTATTTTAGATCATGTGTGTAGTGTACTCACTAGTCACCGTTAATTGTATTATATTATGAACACGTTTCCATAATAGTAAATAATTAAGGATTAAGCCTTTCGATTATTTCTTTTGTAAAAAATGTCTATATTAATTAATAAAAAAAAAAAATACAAATTATCTTTTTATAAGTACATTAGTTTTCCTTAATATTTTTAAACAAATTGTAAAAGCTTTTTTAATCTGTGAACCATCACTTTAATAAAACTGTCTTCAGACTTGTCCTGTAATAAGAAAACAAAACAAATTAACATTAATAACTATTTGGTCGAAAATTGGAATATTTATCTATTTCCAAACTATTGATGCGAATAATCTATTTGAAACAGTACAACAATATTGTTACTGTCAAGGTAAAAGTTAGTGTTGTTTACCTCATTTAGAGCACTAAGATTCTCTAGGAAAGCATCACTGAACACTTTTACTAATCCTTGCCTTAGCTCTTTAAGTTCTTCCGGTGTAACTCCATCATCACCATCTAAATTAGGACTTCCAGATCCTATGGAACAACATTTTTATAAGTAAGTCTAGTGATACAAAATAAAGTAGAATATTTTATCATGGTTATGTTTTTTGGCTGGATAAAAAAAAAAAAAAATTAGTCTTCATTGTCAATAATCGTCAGATTGCCAATTAGTTATCAACGAGTTTGTTGTTTCTTGCTACGTCGATGCAACAATTTTAAGAAGAATACAAAATGTACTAGATTTAGTTACATCACGTGCTATCAAACGCTAAAAAGTGTAAACTATACAGTGAACGAAAACACGTCAAATCAAAAGAAGAAATGTATAAACGTTAAAACGCCAAATCCACTTAAATGAAAGGAACACCAGCTGATGATGGGGATGCCCAAAAACATATCCTTGTTTTATTGCTTTTCCATAAAGAGGATTTTTTTTTTTTTTTTACTTACTGTTTAAGCCTTTTGGTCTATGAATATTTTGCACAGGGCTATGCATAAAGTAGAAATCCGTATGGGCCCATAAAATATACAAGCTAACTTCTACAATCTGTCTACAAATGGTGCGTTGAATTTGGTCATGATCAGTGTCTTTGCGATCGGCATCTGTTTCAGTATTGTTTTCACCAAACAACTAAAACAAATAATACAATATTGTGTGTAACTAATAAAACATTTTAATTATAATGAACAAAAATAGGTACAGAAATCAGTATATATATATTGTAAAATATATTTATATATCACCTGAATTGGCGACGTTTGGCTTTCTCCACGGGTCTTAGTGTTAAACTGCATAAAATAATGTTCTACAGTCTGCACCATTGTTGAAACAACTGTACCCATTGACAACTGATTGGCATAGTTAATGTCTTCTATTTATTATTAGAAAAAACAAAATTAATATATGGATTTAATAAAACAAAGAAATTTAATTACCCGAAGCGTTTAAATTAAACTGTTCACTGTGTATGGAGACGTCCAATATTCTTCTTTTAAATTTCTGACCTCCAGTAGCCCATCCACCATCCATTAAGTTTGATATGTAGTTTAACAAATTCAATGTAATCTAAATTAAAGGTATTTAATCATAACAATGTATGATGTATGTCTATGCAAAAATATATTATCTCAAAAATCAAAAACAACAAATTACCTTCAAATAAAGAATAACATTTGTATCACCATCATTTGGATTAGCTTCTTCAGAGCATTTCTTACGGATAGATCGTATCACAGATAAGTTCACAGAAAATCGTATCAGAGCTTTCTGCATGAGGACACTATAATGATGAAACAGTCCTGCAATATCCTTATCACCGCTTGAATTAATTTCTGAATTAATATCTGTGAATAAATAAAGATGTTTGTAAGACAATGAACTAATGTATACTTTTAATCATAATAGAATAGTTGTGATAACTGACGATAAATAATAACTCCTAAAAATGTGATCGAGAATACTACACTTAAGTTAACCATTTAATTTTATGTTTAGTTTTTTTTTAAATGATACTCACCATCATTGGTAACTATGACAAATAATGATGTGAGCTGATAAAGTTCTTTAAGATACCATTGTTCACATAACGGTGCTGAATTTGTGAGTGCGATAGTAACAACGTCACGATGGCTTATCAAATAATAGACAACCTAAGAAAAAACTACAATACTCAATTCACACTATTAACTTTGCTTATTAACTTATTTATACAATACCTGAAGGACTGATGTCATATTTTGATTTCCTAATGTGCCTATAACTGTTTGACATAAACACATAGCTGGTGAACAAACCATCATATATCGATCACCTTCATCAGGTAAAAATTCTTTCATAGAACGCTTGAAACTATAAATTAGTTATTAATATAAAATATATATTAATATGTTTAAAGTTATAATCCTGTAAAACAATATCGATTATAGAATTATAGGACAAAAATGATTACCTTGCTTCAAAAGAAGGGTGTGCATCAATAGTTTTCATTGACGATAAACACGCAATAGCTTGGTGGTTAAGTAAAGCGTCAGCACCGGTTGTAAATGTAGCAATTTTATTTAAAAGGCTCTGCATAAAAATAAAACATTCAAAATATAACTAAAAATAAAATAACTGTTAATTTATAAATAAAAATATTATTACCATTTTATTCTCATACACATAAATTGGCTTTAATGTCTTATTTTTTGCTGAAATCAATTCCTTTAATTCGTTATCAGATTCTAGAAGGCTCGATATAATACATTTCAGATATCCTTGATTGGAAATATAACCAATAAGTTTTGGATTGATATCAATCAAAAGTTCACACAATGTATAGGACAGTACCTAAAATCACCATTTAAATTTTAGTTATTTTTGTTAATTACCTAAAATAAATAAATATTTACTTTGCATATATCATGGCCAGACGTTAGATCGATGCAAATAACTTCCAAGATTCTTTCACTTAAGTATTGATCGAAATTTAGAGATTTGATGAACTTAATAGATTCAGAATCTAAAATAGGTTGATCGGCAGGAGACTGCAAATAGTTATTCGGTTTCATCGTACAAGTTAGAGTGCGACTGTTGGTAGCTAAAAGATTGATCAACGCAATCAACGACGAATATAAACTAGCTCGAAGTTTTTGAGAACCTAAACAAATTTTGCCAAATAAATAACTATCGATATTATATTAAGTTACATTCATTATTTAATTTTTAACATAACTTTGAATTATAGATAGCTCATGATATATTTGTAGACATTTTACCTGATTGTTGTATACACTTAAGCATATTTTGAAGCATGCTTGAATATACACTCGACTGTCCAGTCACAAACGAACCTAAGGTTAAATCTGGATTCACAGAGCACAACTCCAAATGTTTGTCAATAGTATTTTTCAAATTAATTAACAGAAGTAGTTGAGAATTTGTAATCAATGTGGATAGATCTGACATTTGAGGATAACGTATCACCTAAATATTATAAATTATCGTTAGAAAAATATACAATAGTAAAATGTAGGCACAGTTTTAAAATGTTGTGTTATTTGTATAACTCATTAAGCTTAACCATCTTGGAAAAAAATATGTATAAACATACATACATCTTCTTCTGCTGGCATGACTACTCTCTAAGAGTTTTTGCCTCCATTACTATACTTCGCCACCTGTCTCTATCTTTACATACATACATAATTTGATTACTAACCTTACTCTGTAGAGATACTAATAGATCAATGACAAAAGTAAAACGTTGTTGGAATTCCATAGATGGCAAATTAGCCATACTAAATATGACCGCAGTCAACTGATGCCAAGCATCAAAATACTTAATCATACAGCTAACTTGAAGACGTTTATCGTTAACGCTGACGGCATATGCAAGGAACTCCTGAGAAAGTAAAAATAAAAAAATATATAAAACAATAGTAGTTTTTATCAAACAAAATTACTCCAACCTGTATTTCTTGAAGTAAATTGGCTTTAATTGTAGAAGAACTATCGATTGATTTTAATTCATCCATTAAAATAGTGTGCAATTGCTTGACATCTATCAGTGGGACTTTACCGGGCATTTCACATTCATTCAGTAACTATAACCATTGGGAGTAAATATTGCAATAAGATCAAATTCATAGCACATTCACACACACACACTGTTATCATACCTGATTAATAAGTTTTGTATCGAGGTACTTTAAATCTGGCATGTCTTCGTTGGGGGTATCAAATTCCAGATCTACAATTCCTAATAAACTTAGTAATTTTTTCCCGTCTTCTTTGCCATCCTCGTGATCTAATAAACAATATAGAAAGGTTTTCAAATAAAAGTCGCATTTTTATTCCATATCAACATACCATGATCTCTGACTAATAACGAATGTTCAAATAAGCTGTTTGGTTGAAATGCCTCTGTTCCACCACTGTTATTTAATACAACATAACCATATTATTTATAATCCAATATGACTTAAGTATATTATTTATTATAGGCAAAGTCGTCGATGATTAACTTACGTATTTTTCTTCTCTGGAACTCCAATAAAATGTAATATTAGTTTGGTTAACGTCATCAACAAATTTTGGTGTACGTGCATTTTTATTTCTACAGCAATTATGCGAAGTAACCAGTTCATTTGAATTAAATCGGTACCTAAAAACAAAACAAAAAAATACACAAAACTTTAACAACAGAAAGTTCATTAATTTTAACTATATTACTATGTCAGCCACATGTATAATAAAATACTTACTGCTCACTTTTCTGCAAGAATTGTCTGTATAAAATGGCAATGCTGAAGCGTGTCGCAAGATGAAATCACTACGCGATTTTAAATATACTAATACTGGTCGTGACGTTCTATTACTTGAAACCAAAATATATATCATCTGGTAACAAAGTTCCAACAACTTTGAATGATTTTTACTAACAGCTCCGCTAAGTCGACTTTTTAGTGAATCGTCCAGAATATCAATAATCGAGTGCAAACAGTTACGTGGATGTCCTCCAACACCTAGTTGAATATCAAGAAATCAAATTATTGGAATTGATTGATTAGTTATTGCAAACATCTATTGTTGAATAAGTAAAATTCTAATACAAACTTACCGGCATTTTCAAAACAAGTCTTTTGAACATTTTCCAAATTGAATCCCAGTAAATAGTGAGCCAAATTTGGAGGTGAAGAGTTCATGCATTGCAACAAAAGTTTCAAAATTGACTCTTTACATTTTTTCACCACAGACACATTAGTGACTTCTTCCAAGAACTAAAAAATCAAATATTAAGATATTGTAAACAGAAGTCAAAAGCAAACAATACTTCTTTGTTTAAACTATTTGTATTAGAAATATTTATAACAAGTTATTTTAGATTACATTCTGACAACGCATAACAGATAGCATACAAGCATTTCTGATACCAACGCTTTGTTTCTCAATAATAAAATAGACTGTTATTATTGTAACAAGAACAATTCATACTTTAGATGTTTCTTCTTCTTCTAAACATTGCACAAAACCATGCCTTATGGCAACGGTCAATTGAGGATTTGAAGTGAAATATGATACCATGTGAGATTGAGGTATTGGGTAAGACGTTATTGTCATTAGGATACGTATGGCATGGTAAGCGTGCTCCGGTAAATGTGCATATGTGACAAATCTAAAAAAAAAAATAATGATTTTAGTTTGAACATTGATGTTGAGCTATTGTACTGTGACAAACTTGGATAAATCGATAATGTAATCTGGTTCATTTGTAGCTACATTTATGCTGACAAGAGTTTTATGTAGACCAGTGAATATTAGAGGGGACCCAGAAGCAATGGATGCATTTAAAAATTTCTGCTGCAGATTTAACGCTTGTTCTAAAAGACGCAACACAACTAATGTGGTTTTCTCCATAGCTTCTTTGCCGCTGAATGACGTATACAAGTCAAACATCTGACAGCCAGCATGCATTATGTTAAGTGTCTGAAATGAATAAGTACAAAAAATAAAAAATTGTACTTTATTTATTATATGGAAACAAATGTTGCTTACAGTTCTTAGGAAATCAGAATTTGTGCACAGGTATGTCATTATATGGAAACCAGGTGGCGGATTTACATTGACGGATGTATTATCAGGTAATACAACGTTACTGCCCACAAAATCTGTCATTTGGGGTTCATATAGATTCAAAAATTTCAAAGCGAGCTCTAAGCATAAGCCACTTACTTCCCACTGTAAAATTATATTAAAACACATAAGTATACTTGAAAATTAAAAAAAAAAACCTATATTAAATTAACCTTTTCATTTTGTTTTTTATATCCTCTGGAGAGACATTTTAGGAATATGTTGTGCAAAACAAAATTGAGATAAGGATCAAATCCTGGTGTACGTGTACTCGAACCCAAAAGGCTTGGTACAGACTGTTCTGTCAAAGTAGTCAATAACTTTAACAAGGCAATGGTTAATGGATATTCTTCGTTACGAGTTTCTATATCATCTAATTCGGACTGTAAATGTCAATTCAAAAATATATAATTAGTATAATATGTAAAAAATACGGTCATTAGCGTTATAAATATTTTACCATTATACCACGACTTTGGTAATTGCTAATAGTAGGAACCGTAACAATAATTTGGGATGCTTCAAGGGTTTGCCAAAAACTTAAAGCTGTGGTTGAAGGTGGAGATTTCACCAGAGTGGCCAATGCCAAAATTAAATCCGCTTTCAGAGATATTCTTACTGGACAGGAAACAAGACCCAACAAAACTGAAAGTGTTTCCCATTCTGAACGATCCACTATGATTATTTTTGACTTAACACTGTGCTCTGGTAAAAGTTAAATGTACGTATATTAATAAAAAACAATCTATGTTTTGTCAGTAAAAATTTACTTCAGAAGTAAATGTATTTTATAGAGTTATGACCATTGTTTTCTAGACTTAATTATTTCAAATTTACTGACCTGCAACGTTTCTAATTAACTTGAGTACTGCTTGAAGTCCTTGAATTTCTAACGTAGTAATACCTTTTTGACTACTTCTTTTATACACTGTATCACTGGGGGGTATATTTTCTTGTCTCAAATTTGTATAGTATCTTAAGAATGTCTTGAAGAAATGGTCCCAAGTCAAGTTTGAATTAGTGGCATTTGAATAAAAGTGATTGAAAACATTCTCAGCTCCAGTTTCAGACGTAGCTAATGAGCTTAACAAGTTTAAATAAGGTACGAATAACATGTGGGGTAACATGTCGCCCGTTTGGCAAATAAATCTGTACAACGATGACTGGAATTTCTGAGCAGTCAAAAATGAAGACATTTTAATAGTTTTTAACTGTTCGCGTGATGGTGGCCAAAAGTCTAAGTTTAAGTTTAAACCAAGCGGATCTTTAGCATATAGCCCCGCCATTGCCATCAATAACTGTTCGAAGTTATTTTCTTCGCTTGCAGGAGGTTCTAAACCTTCCTAAAGTATTAAAATTTTTAAAAAGAATTCAATTAGTTCGATATTTAATAATGCTTTGACCAAAAACATTAATATTACCTGATAATAAATAAGTATAGTATGTGCTATTTCATCAGATTTATTACGAATTTCTTTAACAGCATAGGGCATCATAACTATAAATTCTGTAATTAGCTGATGAAACTTTTTTATCATGAATTCCTATTAAAACCAAAACGAAACATTATAATATATTTATTAAAAATTATAAACTGTTTGCAATAAAAAAAAATATATATTATATATACCACATAATGAAGACACTCCGAGGGAGCTATACTTTGGTTTAAGAATCTAAAAACTTTGTTATCCATTGAATAGCTGAACAATGATTCGTCAATTTTCAGTAAACCTTTATTTTTAAATACATGCTGTGATGCACGTAATTTAGCAAATGCAACAGCTAATCCAAATGTAGCAATACTTTTAAGTTCAGTCCATTCCCATTCCTGTGATGTAAGTTCTGAATATGCCGATGACAAAATGTGTTCTTTGGTATCTAAAAACATAAATATTTAAGTTAATGATAAATATTCTTTAATAGCAAATGTAACTAATGCATAAATATTAATAATTACCGCCATTAATTTCTTGTGCATTATTCATGCAGTCCAAATCAATTGCATACAAAAATGATGCTATCATGAATAAAGGTACTTTACTTACAATACCTTGAGATTCAATATCGGGTTTGATTTTTTTTAAATGATTTAACAAGCTGAAAAAAAAATATTATATTGTATTTTTACAAGTATTGATTCATAAAACAATTGAATTTTTTTATTACAATTATCTTCAAAATCTCGAAAAATACAATACACCACTATTGGTATACTCATGTTATACAAAATAAAAAAAAGTTGATCAGCGTTTGTCGAAAAAATTTCAAATTTATCGAGGGGGTTGCCTAGAGGTATTTCCCCTTCCCCAGACTTTCTGGGCACTTAACCTGAAACGCACATCTCAGCGGCGCACCTGGATAACGACATGACATTTTGGTTCTAAGCTTAAATTGATACTTACTAAACTAATTGTTGCCTTGATAATCCGAATTGAATTGAAAAATAGAATACACATTCTGCTAACATTGAACGGATTTCAGTGAACAAACTTACAATAAGCTGGTGATGTTTAGGACCACCGATAGCTTTATTTTTTTGGAGTAATTCAATTTCTTTGGATAAATCCTTGGTGTCTAATATAACTAAAATCAAACAGTCATATGAATAAGCAACAAACATTTGATTTTAATAAATTCGACTAACTTAGAATAGTATTAAATAATCCATCGTTCATAAGCTGATCAACAAATTGACCAAGATGCTGAGCACACGCAGGATCTACTCGTGGAATCCAAGTACGTCCTGTACTGCCCTCAATAAGTAATCTTAAAGATGATACGAGCATACGATGTGCATTGTAATACAACAATACTGCTACAAGCCCTCGACAAAGTTCAGGATATTTTGGATTTTGATAACGCGCTGAAAATATATAAAAACTATTAACAACAAATTAAAATAATGTTAAACATTTATAGTATAATTTACCAGTATTTAAAAGTTCTAGCGACATGAGTTCATCCAAATCATACATATCTGACAATATCAGAACTTCTTCAGCCATGTCCTTTGGTAGAGCTAACATTTCAAACTTATGAATTGGTTTTCCGTCCGCCATGACTTTCATAATTTGATCTCTACTTTTAGAATTTTTAGGCTAAAATTGTAAAATATTGTATATAATTATAATAAAATAAAATAATAATGAAAAAATTATGTGACTAAGCTAAAACTAATTGATTTTTTTACTTCTAAAATATACAGATAAGAAGTGCTATGCACAAAAATAGCAATTTAACTGATTTTATTTGGGTTTTCTTCTATTAAGACATATTCATGTTCTAGTTAGGATGGGCGGTTGATAGAACTATTTTTTGACAACGAGAAACTCACATAAGATTGGTTGCCATTATTGTGCAAAGCTTATCTGTACATTTTAAAATCGATGCTTGTAGATACCTAAAATGAAAGTAAAAACTAAAAATGAGGTTTTTACTAAAAACATTAAATAACTTGTATTGGTTAAAATAAAAAAAAATTCTTGTCATTTTTTATAACTTACTGGATTTTTGAATACATTTAAAAAATGTGGTTTGGCTGCTCGTAAAATACGTTTCAAAAAAGCTACATTTGGTCTTTCATTTATAAAAATATTCTCAAGTACTGGTAAGAGCTCAGTATATGGAGACCATGAACTTTGTAATAGTTCATCTGAAAAAATTTTTTTTTTTTTAAATTAATATATACTTAAACAATAATATTTTAACAGACAATACACCAATAGGTATATTGAAATTTTCATATGTTTTTCTGATTGAAAATTAATATCACATTATCAAAGCTGCCCCCTAATTTTTTCTTTTAATAAGTTTTTTACAAAACTAGGTGTGACTCATGTCATTTTTTGGCGGTCGTATGGGCCGACGTGACCAGCATTTGATAGTGGTTTTTCGACAGCACTGTGCGTGAGAATATTAATTTTTTATACCGTAGTTTGTAATCCAACTGTAAATCGGATCCAAAACAAAAATCATCGAGTGTTTGGCATGATAAAATAATTATTTTATGACCTGGGGTAGTTTATGATGCAATGGTTCCCTGTTGCCTTTCACACTAGGGGGTGGCTGTTACTTTCTCCAAATGGTTGCACACCCAATGAGAAATGGCCAGTAACCACGATTCGAATAACGACTAGTAGTTAAAAGCATTGCCACATTAATTACGTCATGTCGGTTGTATAAGCAATTAATATATTTGTAATCATAATATTAGATTATTTTGAAGTTTCTTCAATACGACAAGTGTGGCTACTAATTTTTGAATTTGTATTATGTTTAAAAAGTATTAACCAGATTACTAACAAAGTATTTTGTGTACACTAATGTATAGTAAATTACCGAGCATAATATATGATGTAAGGTAACAGATAACAACAAAATTAAAGATTACCTTTAAATCATCTTTTTTTGTATGGTTAAGAGTACCTAATATGAATAAATTCTTTATAACATGGCACTATTTGTATTGTATGAATAATATAAAACATACATTCACCCTATATTCATTTTTTACACTGATTTACAATTTCGGATTTTTGGAATTTAAATCTGCTTAAGTGAAAGGCCATAGAAAAATTTGAGAGCGTGCACGAATTTAATGTCATCATAATAATTGTTCCGAAGTTAAATGTGTGTACAATTAATTACGGATAAATTACAAAAAAAAAAAAATAATTTGATTTCTACCGCTGCTACAAAACTGGACGTACATTTCCAAGTCCAACTCAAAACAGTCAACCTTGCGTTATTGTTACAATAAAAAAAAACAACCGTACTTACTGTCCATTTTGCTATAGTAATATATTTGTGTTACATACGGCGAAAAAATAATAGTCGTTATTTATGTTTTGTTTTTATTTTACTTAAGCCGAAAAACCGACTTCCATGCAATTTATAAACCGTCAACTGCAGAACAGACCAATAGGTTAGGTAGGATCACAGCACAACATTCGCGCCGACCGTTCCGGCTAGGCCAGGTTGTTGAGTAGCTGCTGTAGATTAGCAGCTATCTATGTAAACAACGATGTGTGTAACCGCTTGAACCGCGGGCGTTATCACGGTTTATACCTGGTCGTAGATAAGAACAACGGCGGCCGTTGCACCGCGAGACGCCGGATCTGCGACGCTATGGCCGTGGGAACGTATTGTCCACACCCCGACAACATCAACCGAGATAAATACCAATATTACACCTATGCCTATTGTTATTTTAATTTTATAATTGTCCTTTCCGGTAACAGCAGCAGCAGTTATCAACGTATAGGGCTTGGATCCTAACAATAATAATAATTCGTTTCATCAATAGCTTTGCGGTTGTGATAACAATGTTCAATGTTGTCGATAGATTATTGTATTTTGGCGTAGCGTTTGCCGTTTTACTTAATTGTCAACACTAATTAAAACGTTGCATTATTGTTGGTCACAATTGTTTTTGCGTTTTGGTCAGTTAACTTATCCGTAGATTACTGTAAGTCGTGCGCTGGCCGCCGGGCGAGTTAAGGTTAGATTTTTGTTGAAAATACAATATCGACGGTAACGCGACACCATCAAATGGCCAGATACGATATTCGTGGGATTTGTTAGCCGTATGGATTACCACATTCTTGTTGTCATAATACTTGATCGTTAACTGATAGATTGCTAAAAAAAATAAGCTACACGATGTCGAGATCTCTCGTACCCAGTCAACAGAAATTAGCCGAAAAGCTCAGTCTGATCAATGACCGTGGAGTGGGCATGCTAACCAGAATATACAACATTAAAAAAGTATGATCAACCGAACTGTTTCTTTTCACCTAGTTTTTAATTGCTTTGGGAGTAATGATGAAAGTATTGCGACCAATATTATGTAAATTGGGTATATTTAAGTATTCAAATCAGGTTTAAGAAAGAAAAAAAACAATTAAAAAAGAATGTTGCTCTTCGAGCACTTGCGATATTATCATATAGAATAAATTGCAATGATAAATTATAGTGAGATTCTTACAGTCATCTTGCCCTCACTCCTTGCTCTCCTTAAAGACATTTCAAAACAATATTAAAATTTAAACATTGATTACAGTAATAGTAATATGATGTATATGTATATATAAATATAAATGTTATTTTATATAGGCTTGCGGTGATGCTAAATCTAAACCTGCATTTTTATCAGACAAAACGTTGGAATCGGCAATCAAATACATAATCAGAAGATTTCCAAACATTGATATTAAAGGAGTAAGTAAATTGTAGAATATATTAAATATTTATTTACAATTACTATTATAATTAAAAATTCTGATAATTTTATTTTACTCTGTTTATTAGCTACAAGCAATAACACCTATACGCAATGAAATTATCAAGTCATTGTCATTATATTACTATACATTTGTCGATCTGCTCGATTTTAAAGACAATGTATGTGAACTTTTGACTACTATGGATGCTTGCCAAGTCAATCTCGATATTGTAAGCTAAATTATTTTCTAAATTTAGTTATTTTTAAATTTCTAACTCTTTGTGAATAATTTTTAAAAAAATTACATATTATATCATGTATATGAAAATAATCATGTTTTTATTTTTATTTTTTTAGACAATTAATTATGAGCTAACATGCGCCTACTTGGATTTAGTTACAACATACGTAACACTCATGATACTATTATCAAGAGTAGAAGACAGAAAAGCTGTTCTTGGATTATTTAACGCTGCTCACGAAATGGTTCACAACCAAAGGTATTTTTATTTTTAGCTAAAAAAAAACAACATTTAGTTTTTATTGAATTTTAAAATAATTATATTACAATATAGTGATCTCAGTTTTCCACGTCTGGGCCAAATGATCGTCGACTATGATCCTCCTTTAAAAAAGCTCACAGAAGAATTCATTCCTCATACAAAACTACTATATTCAGCTTTGAGATCTTTGTGGCCGATTTATATCAATAGAAATTTATCAGCAGATAAATGGAGGTATGGTTTATATACAAGAAAAGAAAAATCTTAACATTTTTATTTTAAAATGTTAACAACTTCTTTTTTTAGATCTGATCAAAAGTTAAGTTTGGTGAGCAACCCAGGCTTTTTATTAAAACCTTCTCAAACAGAAACCATTTCTTGCGAGTATTTATCGTTAGAGACAATGGAAAAATGGATTATTTGTAAGCATTAATATTCTTACACAATATGTAGTCATATGTTTAAAATATTTTTTATTTCAGTTGGCTTTTTATTATGTCATCAAGCTCTTAGTCAAGAACAAGCAAATAAATTATGGTTAAGTGCTTTAGAATCAAATTGGGTTATAGCATTGTTTCGAGATGAGACAATATTTATTCACTCATTTATTCAAACATTTTTTGAAACTATCAAAGGGTATAGCAAACGAGTGTCAGAAATAAAAGATGCATACAGTCATGCTACACAAAAAGCGTAAATATTTTGGTGTTAAATAAATACATTTTGTTATTTATCACTGCAACTTACATTTGTTTAAATACAATTTTAGTGTGTACAGACATCGAGAAAGAAGAAAGTATTTGAGAACAGCTTTAAAAGAGTTAGGTCTCATTCTTACCGATCAACCTGGCCTACTTGGGCCAAAAGTAAATATAATACAATGTTATGCAAGGTCACTTATTAAAAAAAAAAACAAATTCTCTAGGTACTGCTAATATTTATTGGACTAAGCTTCGCTAGAGATGAAATTTGTTGGCTATTACGACATAGTGACAATCCACCACTTCAAAAAAACAAAGGGAAATCATCAGAAGATCTTGTTGATAGGCAACTTCCAGAGTTGTTATTTCACATGGAAGAATTAAGAAGTACTAATGCAAAATATAACTTTTAAATATGTAAAATTCAATAACTATTATTAAAAAAAAACATTTTTAGTGCTTGTGCGAAAATATAGCCAAGTTGTTCAACGATACTACGTGCAATATTTAACTGGATTTGATGTGGTTCAATTGAATCAAACACTACAGAGTATGCCTGGTTTTCCTGAAGATGAAAGTGTTATTTTGTCGTCATTGATCAACATGGTTTCCAATCTTTCCGTCAAACAAGGTAGATGTGTTGTACATAATTATATTTATTATATACCAATGTATTAATAGTATAATATTATATATTTTTTAAAACGTTTAGTTGAGGATAATGAGCTTTTCGATTTCCGAGCTTTACGTTTGGACTGGTTCCGTTTTCAAGCGTACACTAGTGTCAGTAAAGCTCCGGTCTCATTGCTGGAACACAGAGAGTTGGCATCATTATTAGATACAATTTTCTTTCATACAAAAATGGTCGACTATTTAGATGAAATGATGGTGGAAACATCAGATTTATCAATATTTTGGTAATTTGTTTTATACATAATATATTATGTTGATATTCATTTAAATTTTTTAAATAAACTATTCACATGGTTAACCTTCTGCTAAATATGCGAGGTAGAAAAAAAGAGAAAAAATAGTTCTAAAACATATCTTGTTGGTAGATTAAATACCTACATAGAATAATTAATTTAAAACTATTCAACAATTTCAAGTTATCATACAGTTATTTATAGTTATTTACATAGAGTTGTCTTGTAAACAATAATACTATAATTAATTGTGGCATTATTATTATAATAAAAGAATAATAAATTATAAAAATAACTATAATGATTATATATTTTAAAATATGACAGCTCGTTCGATTATCATCTTAGTATAGATCTTTGAATTTGTGTAACAATAAATCATTCCTTTAGTATGTTTATTTTAAATAAATTATTTTTATTCTTAATATGTTTTAAGCTTATAATTTAGAAATACTGATGTTATAAACTTTTGAATTAAGTTACCTACTTATGCAACTCATATTGACACGACACACTGATTCCCTGCCAAAAATGATTCAAATGACTCTTTGACCTACCTATAATGTTGAGATAAAAAAAAAATTATTTTTAATAAAATTAGGTTTAGTATTAATACAAAAAGACTTGTGTGATCTCGGTTTGACTTATGTGTGTATGTATAATTGCGTTTAGATCCTGTAACGCACATTTTTCAATTTATTATTCGTTGTGACTAAATTAAGTAAACTGTCTTATTAATGATAATCATTTTTTTTGTTATCTGTTATAAAGTTTCTACAATAAAATGTTTGAAGACCAATTTCATATGTGTTTGGAATTCCCAGCACAAAACAGATACATCATCGCTTTCCCATTAGTTTGCAATCACTTTCAGAGTTGCACACATGAACTTTGTCCAGAAGAGGTAATATAAAGAGATTTTAATAAAAAATACATATAGTGCTTATACAATAACGTTATTTAGAGACATCATATTCGTGAAAGAAGTTTATCAGTCGTTAATATGTTTTTGGATGAAATGGCGAAAGAAGCAAAAAATATCATCACTACAATATGTGATGAACAATGTAATATGAGTGATAAGGTAACTGCTTGCATCTGAAAAATATTTGTTTATTCGGATTAAAATTAATTTCTTGTGTAGTTACTTCCCAAACATTGTGCTCTACTAATATCGCAAGTGGTAAACAGAAAAAAGAAAGACAAAAACAAGAAAAATGGATCTAGCGAAATTGAAAAACCTGGTATTGAGAGTTTCCGAAAAACTCGTGAAGAACTTACAACGTCAGTATAACTTTACCATTAGTTTTTATTTACAATTTTAATCTTGTAAATTACCGTTAATTATTGTTGACCCATAATATTGAAAAATAATAGCCAACAACAATAATAAAATATAGCCAGTATATTAGGGTCGAGGGTGTATACTGGGAATGTAACTTATCAGTGTGGGGAGGTCACAAACCTATGGGAATTTATCACTTTCAAATAAAACGCTTTTTGATACTAAGCATATTTTTATCAAAATATTATACTAATACTATGTCTCAAGAATATTCCATATACATTTGGAACTAGTTTAAAAAAAAACTTATAGCGCGTAGTAATTTTAAGTTAAAAAATTTGTATATTTTTGGGGTGTTTTTCTTGATTTTGAAGGGAAAGAGGTTAACTTTTAAAACGATTGGCCTTTCAAGTAATTTTTAATGATGATTTGTGATCTATAGAGTGCCACATAAAAAAATAGGTTTCATTTTTTAGAAGAATTCATGGGTCTACAAAAAAAACAATACTTTCTCCTGTAGGCATTGAAGCTATAATTATATAATTTAATGATTTATGTTAAATTTTCATTTAGAATGGACAAATTACATATGGCTCTCACCGAATTGTGTTATGCCCTCAACTATTGTTCTACAATAAATGTATGGGAGTACACATTTGCTCCTAGAGAATATCTACATCAACATTTGGAGAATAGATTTTCTAGGGCTCTCGTGGGTATGGTCATGTTTAATGCTGACACTGGTGAAATTGCTAAGCCATCAGAACTCTTAGCTAGTGTAAGGGCGTACATGAACGTTTTACAGACAATTGAAAACTATGGTAATAATATCCATTATTTATAGTTATATAAAGAAGTAATATTTAATAAAATGTGTTTATATTGTATACTGTTTTTAAAAACCTATTTAAATACACATAGATCCACCATAATATAATACGAGTTAAGTATTTACCATTTTTGAACTTAATATAAAATATATAACAAAAAAAAATTCTCATCAAAGCCATTTTTCGATGAATGGTTGAAGCTGATCAAATTTTAAATACAGTTTACGTTTGTTAGATTTGATTATTTAACATTTTTATTAAATAACTTACTATTCAATTAATTATGTCATAATGATTTGTTATTTATTATTCAATCAAACAATTTATTAATTATTTGATAGTACCTAAATTTTTTATTTATAATTATTTTAAATACCTTTTTAAATATTTTCTATAAATAATAAATAAGCATATTATCTGTTAATGGTCAAGTAACCAATAATTTTATGTTTAAAAAAAATGTATTCATCAATTACATTTTTGCCCAACATTGTTTAAAAACCAAAAGTAATAATAAAAATTAATAATCTATGATTCAGAGCTTAATATTTAGTGACAAATAATCGATTAGTAATTACAGTACTGTCTAATGTATTTTAAATGGATTATCTGTATATTTTATTATAAAATAATAAAAGTGTAAAAAAAGTTGTGGGAGCAGATCTATCTGCGTCATGTACCCTTGTAACTATGCCACTAATATACAATTAAATATATTAATTATTATATATTAGTTTAATTATATTTATAAGGCTAGGTAATCTAAAAATGTATAGTAGTTATAAAGAAAACTAATAATTAAAACATATAATAATATCTTGAATCACAATTTTTAAATTTTTTTACAGTGCATATTGACATAACAAGAGTTTTTAATAACGCATTGTTACAACAAACTCAACAGCTAGATAGTCATGGAGAAAAAACTGTCGCATCGTCGTACACTCAGTGGTATGTGATAATCATAGTTCATTACGATGTCCGTATGTAACAAGTGTTTATGTTTATTTTGTTTATTATATTTAAAAGGTATTCTGAGGTGTTATTAAGACGAGTGAGTGCTGGTAACATATGTTATTCAATGAACCAAAGAGCATTTGTAAGCCTGACAGCAGAAGGTGCTATTCCGTTCAATGCTGAGGAATTCTCAGATATAAATGAATTACGTGGATTGGCTGAGCTCGTTGGACCATACGGTATGAAGTTGCTAAACGAAACATTAATGTGGCATATCGCTAGTCAAGTTCAAGAATTGAAGGTATGATTGTATAATATATATTTTATGTATTCTTGCTTCAAACAATGAATTTCTGTATACATTTTATATAGTAACGATAGACTGGATTTATTAGTTCAGATTTTGATAATACTGGTAATGCATTTTATTAGGTAGTAATTAATTTTACAGAAATTTACGTTTTAAAATCTACATTTTTTCGTAATCAATTTTTAGGTTGGATGAAATCTTATCACTCAAATAATTATTTCTTAAGTTAGTTAATTTATTATAATATAGTTAATGATAATTTTGGGTCAGTCAAAACTTTGCTTATCTCTGCTTTGACAAGAAGGTGAGGGAATAAGGTGATAAATGTGTATGATATGGGGTGTGGAAGGTTAGTGATTAGGTTAAGGTGGTTATTAATGTATTGATGATTTAATGCCATTAATTCAAGTAAAGAATATATATATATATTATATCACTTATATTATGTATTGTTTTATATATTTTTGGTTGCTTATGCTGTAATATATATTTTAATAACTAATTTTTATTGTATTCATCGACTAAAATTTCTTCTGCGTAGTATATATTTTTTTCTTAGTATATAAATCTATTTTAAACCGACTCAAATTTTGTTATATTTAAAAGCATTAATACAAGTACAAATAGGTGGATGGAATGAATTTAGCATATAATTAAAACAATTTTGTCACCCTTTGAGTAAATTATTAGTTGGTGGAATATTACTCATCACGTTCAATAACAATTCAAGACACTTATAGGAACGTTCTTCTTAACCTACGATAGGGTCGACCAATCCATGTGTCTTTAAAATAGTTAATTAAACTTGGTAACGTTATGTCATTTTTTCAGTAAAATTTTAATTTGTATAAATATTAAAAATCTCTCCCCTCCTTCCAACAATTGAAGGTAATGAATTAGATGAATGAGCCACTTGCAATAATAAAATAGGTCAACCCTAATTACTTGTTGCAATGTTTTTCCGCAGTTATTTTACCATTACTTTTTGACATGCATCCAATAGGTATTGAAATGAATAAATAAATAACTTTTTATTTTATTTTTTAGAAATTGGTAGCAAGCAATAAAGAAGTATTGTTAGCCCTACGGACCAATTTTGATAAACCAGAAATTATGAAAGAACAATTTAAGAAACTTCAGCGTAAGCGTATTAAGACTCTTCAGGCACGTTATTATTAAAAATAAGCATTATTCATTTTTTTTCTTAGATGTCGATAATGTGCTTCAAAGAATGACGATTGTCGGAGTCATTTTGAGTTTCCGACAGCTATCTCAATCGGCTCTCGTTGATGTTCTAGAAGAGAGAGTGCCGTTTTTGCTGAGTTCTATATTGGATTATCGTATGAATTTGCCAGGAGGTGATACAATGGTATGTTGCAAAACAAATCGCAGTGTTTTAATTTTTATATTTTTTACCTCGTTTGTACATTTAATTTGTTAAGGTGGTTAGTGAAATGGCGTCAGCAGCTGGACTTGCTTGTAAAGTTGACCCTGCTTTGGCCAATGCACTAAAAAATCAAAAGATGAGTAAGTCGCCTACTTTGATTTATAATTTTAAGTGTTACAAGATTTAAAAAAATTACTTTTCATTCTATAGGTGATGAAGATGAACACTTATTGGCGTGTCTATTAATGGTTTTCGTAGCCGTCTCTATACCAAAACTAGCGCGGTCAGAAAATTCTTTCTATCGAGCATCTTTAGAAGGTCATGCAAACAATATACACTGTATAGCATTGGCCGTGAACAATATATTTGGTGCTCTATTTACTATTTGTGAACAAGGAGACATTGAAGATCGTATGAAAGAATTTTTAGCGGCAAGTCTAAAATCTTAGTATGACATATTATAGTTATTAACGGTTAATCGATTTTACAGTTGGCTTCGTCTAGTTTGCTACGTCTCGGACAAGAAGTTGACAGGGAGGTAACAAAAAATCGGGAATCCGTTTATTTATTACTGGACCAGGTAAGAAATGTTGCCACAAACTAATACAAGAATAAAAAATATCACCAATTCAAAATTTAGTTAGTTTTAACAACAAATGTTGATGAAAATGATTAATAGTTAAATATTCTGATAGCACTGTGTTTGAACTTTCAAATAAAGAAAAGTCTATTAAACCCATTTAAAAGTTATGCCTTTAGGACTGATATAAAAAATTTTACATAGAAAAAAGCTTTTATTTAGCAGTTAGCCGACTGATGCCAATTGAGCTATCAGACAAACTATTAATCTTAACAATATTTGTAGTTCGTGTAATAAATAATGTAAATTTTGGCTTGGGCACGTTTTCAATCCCTGCATAAAAATAAATTTTTATTCTGAAATATATTAATGTATTTTTCAGATTGTCCAAGAATCGCCTTTCCTCACGATGGATTTGTTAGAGTCTTGTTTTCCATACGCACTAATAAGGAATGCATTTCATGCCGTGTATAAAATAGAACATTCCCAAGTGTAAATCATTATTTTAAGTATATATATATATATATTTTAAATTTAGTCATATCACTCAATGACTGTTAATTATTGGCCATAACTATTATTTTCATAATTTATTTATACTTTCTATTAAGTCGTAAAATATATATAGACTTGCGTGTTAAGTTTATGTCAAAACTGTGTTTTATGTCAAAATAAGGTTGCATTTGTTTTCAAATAATCAAACAAAAATTATTTTAAAAAAAAAATATTGAAATACCAAATTTTAACAAAAATATTACATTTTACAGAACAAGTTAATTATAATCATTTATTGTTTCTGATATCTCGTTTTCTTCAAATTAATTATTTTCTATACAGATTAGATATTAAATTTTAAATATAGAATTTTTTTTAAATATTTGTGACGGTCAATTTTTATTGTGTTTGTTTTATATGTTAATACAAACTTGAAACTACTAACAATATCAATCCTATTAATGTTTATATATTTATTTATTATTTTCTAAATTATTTATTTTAATATAAAATGTGTATAGAATATTGATAATCAATTAATTATATTGAAATTAATAGTTAAGTCACTTTATAATAAAATATAATTTATGACATTTATACAAATAATAATAAAAACTTTTAATTCATAGTACATTTGTAAACAAGGTGATATTGTTCTAAAGAATATTGGAGTATTAATTATTGCAGTTCAATTTGTTTGTGGTTCTTAGGTTAAGAATACAAAAAACGAGTCTTATAATTAAATTATTTTTAAATTTAATCATATAAAACATATACTATATCGATTTAAAAACAAAAAGAACATTCTGTAGATGTGGTAATGTCTAAAAATACTCTGAATTGTTTACTTTATTCATAATAGGTTCATTTAAAAAAAATGTTTTCAGATTAGAACAAATGTTTACTGGTTTAGTTATAAATTCTATAATACAACGCTAATTATAAATATTATTACTGTATTTTTAAATTTGCCGGTACTATTCAGGTAAAGGATTTTTTCTAGTAAACGGAAATTCTTCTCGGCTATGATATGGTTCATATGGATCGTCTGGGTAATATCTCCTCTTCTTCCAATACTTTGTTGTCATTTTATCCAAAAGTGTACTCTGTTTAGCGTTACAAAATACATGTTGCCTCAATCTCCTTTTTCTAGCGGCAGGTTTTTTCCACAATTTTTTGCTACGGCCACACTTTGTTCGAATCCATATGCCCCTAGATGGCAATAGTTATTAATACTTTTATTATGTTCTTCATATTGATTATAACATATTATTATATTGTTATTTCAGAAATTCAAATAAATTGCGCTATAGTTTTTTTTTCAGCTTTAGTACAATACTAACTTTATATCAAACATTCAAAGGTAAAAATAACTCTATTTACACTTCTTATGTAACAGGAATTTATAATCAAATAATATATACATAATTTTTTATTCAACAAATTTTAACTTGAAAACTATTTAAAATGTTTTAAATTAATAAAAAAGATTCTTAAAACAAAAAATGACACATGAAATTCCCTTTTTTGTTGTACCTTGATAAAACTATTTTCTATGAAGTTATCAAAGTTATCAGTTTCAATGGGCAGTAAGTTGATAAAAACTAAATTTTTGTCGTAAAATATCAAGAGAGTAAATTTGTTGTCATATTAAGCTCTAAGGATCATTTGTTAAATTTCAAAAATTAATTAGTAGCTAGAATTTTTCTAATAAAAAATTTAAATTTTACATGTTAATCGAATGCAAAAAAAATTCACTAGTTCTTAAAGTTAAGTTAGATATATGAAAATATAAGGATTTCTTGTTTAAATGGGCTATACTATCGATTGGTAGGGTGAGAACAACAATTTTTTTTTTTTTGACAATTTTGGATATTATACTAAATGGGTTATAACTCTTCAGTATAAATGTATATAAATAATATATAATGTACATCAATATAAATGTATTCGTAAAAATTATAATGCCTAGCAATCATAATTACCATGCTAAACGGTAAAATCGATCAACTACCGTCTTCACAGTTTTTCTTTTGCCTTTTTTCAAAGAAAACTTTGTCAAGCCTCGATTCGGTTGAACATTGAAATTGCTGCTATGACATATAATACATAAATTTGTTAATATGGCTGTTTTAAAACAAATAATCTAAATATAAACTAACAGAAATTATTAAAATTAAGAATTTATATGAGTGAATATACATTCTTCGTTATTTTAATTTTAGTAAAATGTATTCAACAATTTATTAAAACGTCGTAATGAAAATCCTAGTAATACTATTAAATATATACTCAATGCTAATATCTAGTAGGAGTGTTAGAACTCACGAATTAGTTAAAATAATAAATAATATTTATTATAGATAAATGTTATGTACATTTTTACATTGAAACAGTACTTATTTGTAATTATTTATACTTAATTGTTTTTAGATCTTGCCATTATAAATAATCTTAATTTCACAGCTCTTTCAAGATTATCTGACTAAACTTTATCTGTGTCACCTCAGCGAGATTTATATAATAACTTAATTATTAAATCCACATTGAGTGCTTAAAATACTATTTTTTTTTTCAACTTTTTGTAAGTGTTATTAAACAGAACTCATGGAGGCGACTCAAATAAAGTTCTTAACTTTCAGATGATAAAAGTATCTTTCCTATCAAACAATTTTTGTTAGAGCTGTACCAAGAAAGCCAACTCATGTCTTTATACCATATAGTAAAAATGACTCCTACAGTAGTAATAAAAACAATATAAAGTTTCATGGGTAAAATAATTGTTTATTATGATTAGACAAAACAACCAAAGCTACATGATGAGATTAAAAAAAAGTACTACATTTTTTAGGGGATAATGTCCATTCAAACAAAACAACTATCTAGCTAAAACAATAATTTTTTCCTTTTGATAAAAACTATTACTCTTTTTTAAGCTTTGATATGTTCTAGAAAAAAATTAAGCTACAGATATATAATATAGTTGTGAGTTTTAGTCTTAGTTGATGGCATTATTTCTTTCTAAATGTTGAAGTGTAGTTTTTTGAAGTGAAGAGGCTTTTAATATTATATTATCTTAGTCAATTGCTGTTTTTTTTTATTGTACCTATTATATGTAGCTCATAATTTAACTGTATTATTGTAAAGAGGGGTAAATTTTTAATGTTTTATCAATTTTTAAATGTAGCCAAATGAAATTTTTTTTTAAATTTCAGAATGCATTAATACACTATCACTTTAATAAGTCTCCTATTAAATCAAGAATTAGAATTTTTTAAGGAAAGAGGGAAGGGATTTTGAACTTGTACGTGCGTTTTTCAACTGAATTATTAGAATTACTTATTTTCGGCTATAGTTAAATACATTTTCCTCTTAAAACTTTATCAGGGGTCTATATTAGACCTCTTGAACTAATTATTCTGTACAATTTTTCTATTGCTACATCCGTATTGAAGTTACAATATTATTGATGTTATACTATATCACTAATTAACAGTTAAATAACATTATACTTACAGCACATTTGATGGAACAATACATGTATTCCGATTTAAAATCTCATTTGTAGTGTTTACCCTGGATGACATAAATGTTGAATAAAATCTACAAGTATCGAGATTTTGTTGTACAGTTTTACTTAACACATTGTTTATGATCGCCGGCCTGGACAGTACATTTTCAGCGCTTAACCGAAATAATCGGGTACTTGCTGAAAACAATGTTTTAGACAATCTTAAAATTTAAAAAGCCCTATTTTGAACAGAAGAACCATTTATAAATATTACCTGAAAACAATGATCCACATGCTTGTTTCAACATATTTAAACAAACGTAAAACAACCCAAGTGAATAATGTAATTTTCTGTCGCACGCCGTGCTAAAAATTTATATATTCTGTTATCAATTATCATAGCTGCTGTAGGAAATCCGTTATCATTTTCAGTCTTGAAAAAGAGTTGGGGGCAGTTCTTCCAAAAAATGATAACAGGCGATAAGAAATAAATGTAACATAACCTTTAAAATATCTGTAGTGCCAACAGCGATTTTACCAAAAACCCGCCAAGAGAAATTAAAAATATTCTGTAAAAAAATAATAATTACTTTATTAAAATTTCCCACAAATTATTTAAACTACTATTCAAAATAAAACATTATTATTATTTGTACCTAAATTATTTGACGATTTCGGAATTTGGCCATCAAGTATAAATTAGTTTTACTACATCTTACATATTATGTATTTTGTAGGTAGTTAAATTTGTAGTTAAGAATAAAGGTACGAGCTTATGAGCTTTGTATTCAATCTTGTCTTTTAGAAGATATATTATTAACAAAATCTGGTACCTAAAAGATATATTAGAGCAAGGAAAACGGAACATATGTCACATATGTGACACTTGTAGTTTTAAGTTACATAACTAACTAGAATATAACACTTATTTAATTTTCAAGTTTCCACAAAAATCAATATAGTATACATTAAAACTATATAATCCAAAATGAACCTATTTCCAGATAAAGACAATTCGTTATAGAAGGATATAAGAATACATTTTCGTTAGGTTTTTTGGTAACGCTGTCGATTTTTCTGGTTGTGTGCCAAAGTAAGACATAAAAAGTCAACTAATTCTAAACTAAAAAACTAATTTTTGTAGTGAACGTGTTAAAAAACGTACAAACTTTATATTCTACTCTCCATCTTCTTTATTAATCAATAAATAATTTTACCAGTATGTTTGTTTAGTTATCAAGATTAGGGTTGCCATTTGTTCTGATTTAGTTAGAACACTATCGGCTTTCAGCACAACGTGCCGGTATAATTTAAATCTTGGCTTGGATGTAAAAAAGTACTGGTTACTATTTTTAAGTCTATTTTTATTGTAACTATTAAATAATTATTAAAATAATATGTTCATTGTGTATTGGACTGTTTTTTTTTCTTACCCTTATAAATGATACACAATACTGTTATTATACTGTTAATACTATTTATTAGCACAGACCGTATAGTGTATACAATACATTAAAACACATTTTTGTGTTTTTTAGTTTGTTTAAATTAAAACAAATTTGGAGGGGGGGGGGAAAGGAATAATAGGATTATCAATTGTCATGGTCCGGGTTATAATTTAAAATCAATGGCAACTCTAGACTAGATGAACTGATTTAATTTGTGGGCAATGGGGTGTTTTTTTTTACACAACTAAAAATTGTAAAATTTAAACGGCAAATAAACAAGTAACAAATGTTGTACTACATTTGGTGTTTAGAAATCTATTCTTGCCAGTTAAAATACTTTTGGACTATTAAACCGTAAAGCTGATTTGATCTTAATTAACAACGGTATTTTTACTATGATTGTTTCAAACGTGTATACCTATTACTGTTGTATTAAATTCATAGTATACCACTATAAAGATGATAAAACTATAACTTATATTATCATGGATTTAACATAAATGTGAAAAGCGATTTTTCAATTATTTATGTGATTTGGAGGAAAAAGCAAGTAATCAACAGACATTATGTTTGTTCAATCATTATGTTTAAATATTTTGTTACACCAGTTGATGTAGTCACCAGTTTGAGTGTAGTTAAATTTCAATACAAAGTTTAGATAATATAATGTGTAACACTAATTTGGGATTAGTGTGAAATGTACTGAATACCTATATTAAATACAGTAAATTGTAGCGGATAAAGAATCTTACCTTGCAACTAGTGTAGCGAAAATTTTTTTTTTTATTATAAGTAGTTGGTCAATTTCGTTTTGTTTGCAACCGGTCTGTGGATTATAAAAATGTCTACTAATCCGGGAACTATAATAGTATAATATAAATGTGGCGGATGCATGGCTGCAGGTGCCACAGCTCACGCCACCTTGCTGTCACCATCGATGTGCTATTATCGGAAACATCTATGGAAATTTAAACACCAATGACATCGGTGATGCTTTTATTTTACCTTCAAGCTACATCGGCAGTCCACGGATCATACAGGAGTACAATACACAAGATGCGATGACTTACATCAACGTCATTACGGTCGTCCAGATTTGTTTATTATAAATATAACATTTACAATAATAATTAATATGTAATCCGTATTGGAAGGAAATACAATCTTCGGTAAAACTGTATTAAATTTAATTTTCTTACACTTATGAAAGAATTATGATCTACTAATTATTATTATTATACGAATATTCGATCGGAATCTCCAATTTCTTTGCAAGAAAATGTTGATGAATTCATTGGTAGTCAATGTGCTGATAGTCTATCTTATTAGAGCAACGTATTTTCAGTTAAACACACCTAAGATCACATCGTAATTTTTGTTACGTTAATAACAAATCGGACATTGTCTCCTTGTGATGTTTTTAATTTTGACTTTAAGACTTATTTTGACTGGCTTTAAGAGTTTTTTGATAACGTGAATTTTACTAGAAACCTCCCCCCCCCGCCCCTTATTTAGGCTTATGCCAAACTCTCACAGATAAACCTAAATGTTTGCACAGAAAATATATAAATAGCACCTAGTTTCTTAATTCTGTTTCAATTAACAAAAAAACTCTTATTTATTTTGTTATGTAATAAATTAAGTGATGTACACTTTGTTTCATTTTCCCTAAATCTTCCCCAAAAATTAACTCTTCTCGGTTAAATAAAATAAAAATTATTTCTTTAAAATTAAAAACTTATACATAAAATATTTCAGTTATTTAGTATGAATGTTAATTAAATTTTATTGCATCGTCTAGTTGACCGGCATGTAATAGGTTCACATAAAAGCGTTGTTTTGGATAAGTAGAAATGTACTGGTATGACTACCTATCAATTACTTTGTTAAAAACAAACATATTATAATCAAGAACTGGGTAACACAGATTGAAGAACATACTTTAGTTTTATAACTATACTAAATGACCATATAACAATAGTTGCAAAAACAAAGTTTTAAATCTTGTATTATAAAATTATTTTAAACTGCGAAGTATCATAAATAATATTATTTAAAAAAAACGGTATAATTTGATAAAACTCAAATTAATTTGTTGTAATTAATAAAAAAATTCATCAGCTAAAAACAACACAATCCTTTGTTATAAATCAAATACAATTTTTCTTATCAAAATAACATGTAATTTTTAAGTGTACATCAATTTCTTTAGTATAGTGAGTATTTAATTGAGTAAATAGTTTATATTTTTTTATAATAAATGTGTTTTTTAATTTTTCATATAAAACTAATATCTTACTACTATTGCTTGTTAATGATAAGTGATACTGAAATTATAGATTACTTAAAGTTTTTATCTTCCAGTTATCTAATACATTTTATTTAAATAAAAATTTTAAGAGTTAAATTAAAAATGCAATTAAATGTTTTTGGAGAAATTAATTTGATTTGCTTTTTTTTTAAGCTTATAGATTTTTTCTTACTGGCAGCATCTATATTACAATGCAAAGTTCCAAACTGATTTTTTTTTTCAAGATTCATGTGTCACACCTATGTCGTTGACAAATAACATTTTATTCTTTGAGATATTATAGGATCAAACCCTTAACATTTTAAAAGTACAGAACCATCGTACGTACTATATTTACAATTTATAAAATTCAATAGATTATAAAAAAAGCAACGATAATTAATTTCAAATTTTCAAATAATAAGTGAAGTTAACCAATAATACAAGTCACTGAGTTTTGTAAGAAGTACATTTAATATCTCTTGAAAATTCACTAAGATATTACTTTTGCGATTATGTTTTTGTGTCAATATTTTCTAAATCGCTGAACCGATTTCTTCATGCAGCAACTCTATAGATCATAAACCATACCTGAGAGGTACTTCATTGGGCTAAGAGATTTAAAAAGTTCACCCTTTCTCCGTTAAAATGAACACAAAAAATGAATATATTTTTAAACTAAAAATTACGGCTCAATTTAACTTTTTTTAAAATAGTCAAATAATAATTTAATTAATAAAAGAATAATATTTAAAGAGATTATATATTACGTATATATTATACATATATATACGTATTATTAATGTACATTGAAAAACCATAAAAATATCAAAAGCTCTTTCCTCCAGAAGGGATGGGCATTTTTTCATTATTTAGCCTTTCTTAAGTGTAGTTTTAGGGCTTTAGGTCTGCAAATTGTCAGAAGGTAGATCTAGAGTGGGGCTATAACGCGTAAAATTTATTTCAAATATATGTAGTTAAACTTTTGATTTAGGAAATAACCAGGAAAAAATGGGAAATAACACTATAATCGTAGGCGGTCAATGTCTATATATTGTTTGTGAATCAACAGGTATCTGACAAATGTTTTCACTATATTGTTGATTACTATGTATTATGTGGGTAAAAACGAGAATAAGTGATAAGTGCGAAAAAAAAAGGCCAGACTACCGGCTACCGAGACATTTTTTTATCAACTATAAGAATCCAACGGGAGACATAATATCATATTAACAAAATAAAAAACCACCGCAAGGTAGATTACTGTGTATACGGCACAATGATCGTATATGGTGTATTAATAAAATACAACTGTCGGATTATCGTGATACACCCTATATATATATAAAAAATCAGTCTTTTTTAAAAACAGTGTGACGATGATAGATAGTATATGGCAACGGCGAATATTTTTCACTTTTTAGGGTACAAAGCTATTGGGTGTGGCCTAAATATCCCCGGGCTTGGTCGGCGCAGGGATTTTGACCAGGAACCTGGGGATCAATAAATGGGAAAACGCTGTCAGCGCGGCGGCTGCAGCTCCCCTTCCGGCCTTACCGACCCTTGTTGTATTGTATTGTGTGCCAGCCCCAAACGTTGGTTCTTCAGTAAGCAAATGCTCAAAGCCTCGGCCTGCTGTCTAAAATACACCGTTTCGGCAC